GGGGAAAATAGGCCTTTAGGAACGGAAGACTGGAATCAGATAAATGGATTCTGAAGCGGCATATACCTTCCCACATTTCACAGATAACAATTAAAAAAAAACCCACTAAGGGTCAGTTTATTAACACAGAAAAGGACCATTGCCCGAGTGCCAACGTACGTATATAATATTCACACAGTGATACATCTAGGCTGCTGGGGTATGGTTTAACCCTGAGAGACAGAAGTGTGCTGAAACTACAGGGATAGTGACTCTACCACTCAGTACACGGTAATACAATGTTTGAAAGGTATCAGTAAAGGGAAAATAGACTTTAATGATCTATTGGAGACTAGAAAATAGAAACAGCAGAGACACCATGGAGAACATCCCATGAAGGATTGGAGGAATCAGACAAGGGGGCAGAGGGGAAGTTCTGAGTTAACAGAGGTACAAAGCTCTGCCAATTTTCATGTCCTCCTAGGACAAGTCTAGGATTGGCAACTCTAGGCTGAGGAATTCCAGAAGATTTGAGGTGGAGCCTGGGAAGGGTGTAGTTTGTGGAGCTCAGGGAACTCAGCAGGGATGTGATGCCATGCAGTCTGCCCTCTTGAAGCTGCCATTTTCTCCAGGGGAACTGATGTCTACTAGGGAGATCAGAGTCATAATTCTGGGAGAACTCCAGGCTCCACCTGAAGACTGTCAACCCTAAGTAAGATTTAGTGGCCATCCTTAATTTGGAATAGGCTCCTGGGGGGGCTCACACTAAGAATGGCAATGCTGTTGGGGCAGTGGGTCCCCAGATCTCACCATGCTTTGGAACTAGGCCTCCGTAACCCAAGGGAAGGTTTTGTTGTTGCTATGGGCCAGAAGAATTGCCAGCTCAAGCTTAGAAATTGCCTTGAGATTGGGGGTGGGCTGGGGGGCAGTTTGGGATGGTGATATTATATATATTGACCAGGCCAAAGGTCAGTTCCCCTTGACTCTTCCCCTTCCTATGAAGGCAATGTTACTTCTCACCAAAATTGAAAATTTAAATTTCCCAGAATATATCACTTCCTCCTACCATTGCCTCCTACCTCACATTACTTCTAGGTGTCTTCATGCATGTATTCACTATGTCATCCTAACCCTTTGGATGTAAATACTGGTGTTGGTATAACTGACTACTATCCAGTTACATTCTGTTCAGTGTAAAAAAAAATCTTTCAAAATCCTCCTCAGGTTTTCCTCCATGTTAAGGAGAAAAATCCAATGGATGCCACCAAACACCAGACACATCCCTCTATCAGTCCCCCCAACCAGTCTCTGAACTTTGCTGCCTTTACAGACAAGAAATAATCCGTTTCTCCTAGTCTCTGTCAGATGTACACAGAAGAAGAAGAGATTGGATTTATACCCCACCCTTCACTACCCAAAGGTGTCTCAGAGCAGTTTACAAACTCCTTTCCCTTCCCCTCCCCACAACAGACACCCTGTGAGGTAGGTGGGGCTGAGAGAGCTCTGACAGAAACTGCTCTTTTTCAAGAACAACTGTGCCAGAACTATGGCTTGCCCAGGGTCATCCAGCCAGGTGCAAGTGGAGGAGTGGGGAATCAAACCCGGTTCTCCCAGATTAGAGTCCGCACAACTTAACCACTACACCAAACCGGCTCTCAAGCAGAAGTCCTAGAGCATCCACCTTCTGGTAGCCACTCACGGACTTCCATTTTGCCTAGATTATGGTATTCTATAGAGTCTACCGAAGAAGCATTGGATGGGGTGGATCCCCAATTTTTCCACTGGTGAAAAAGTGAGGAGTCCTCCTTTGACACACACACACCCCCCCCCAAGGCTATGAGCCAGCAAGTTGAAATGAAAGGTTAATGAGGAAAATAGGAAGCAGCGAAGGAAAGTCTGGGATCATTTCTGCCAGTTGAGTATCTAAGCTAAATTGTGTTTTTCTTCCTCTTTGCTGATACTTAAATCTTGGACATGGCCAGAGGCACAAGCCAAAGAGCCCTTGGCGATTAGCCCAGTGGCCGTGAGTCAGGTGTTCGATAGATACACAACCAGCCTAGGAGTTTGAGTTCTTTGTTCATTTTTTCCCTCAGTTTCTGGAAGACATTTTTGGGACTACAAGGAAGATAAAAGCAGCATATCAATGTAGTGTAAATAAATAAAATGTGTATAAGTTGCAATCTGTACATCCTGCTTATATATTTATCTGACATATTTGTAACCCTCTGAAGTAATAGATCCTGGGGCAGTTAAGAAGCATAATCCCATTAATAGCAATAACGTGACTACAAAACAACAGGTATCCAAACCATTAAAAATATTCTCAGCACTAAACAGCAGTAACTATAAACTAATTGCCAAACAGCATAAAATGTTTAAAACCCATTTACAGCATAAACCAATATAAAGGTAAGATACAATTTTAAAGATGTAAAATTAGATTTAGTCTCAGTTGGGGATAAAAGAAATGAATACATATTCTACCATTATTTACCATTATTCCACTTTCCCCCCAGTCTTTGTGGTAGTCACAAAGTTTTTAACCTCCTCTGAGAAAAGACCTGTTTTTTTACTCTGTAAAAACATGCATTTTGATGGTACTGAAGAAGAAGAAAAATAACAATAGTTTTCAATGGCAAGGCATCTGAAGTTTTAAAAATGGGATGTTTCTAATCATGTGCAGAGTGCACTTTCCTTATCACTTGAGTAATAGCTATCATCACATATCCTGGATTCGGAAAGCTATCCAAGTATAAGGCAATAAAGGAGAGCTGAATTTCTTTGCCTTTCAAAAAGACAGTCATTTCCCTCCTCTCTGTATGGAAATCTGCAGCTCCTAAAATTTATTCTAAGTGTACAGCTGTCCTTTTGCAGCAGGTCATCCTATTTTTTTTGGGGGGGGGGGGAGAGAATATATGCTTCCTTGAGCCCCAGTCCTGGTTCTTATTGGAATTCAGTGCTGGCCACTACCTATTTTCAGTCTCAGCTGCTAGCCTGCAGCATGTGCTTCAGCTTCCTTTGTTGGAGTTTTATGTCATAGGGCCCTTGTGTCACTAAGAAACGCAGGGAGTGGCACTGCAGTAAGCAGTATGGCATGACACTTTTCCAGGGAAGATCATAGATTCTCTTATGCAGGAAGAAAAAGACAATGTTTAATTAATTAAAAGTGGGTAATTTTATTTAAAAAAATCATTACCAAAAAATTGAAATAGAAAGCATTGGTGACATTTTTTGCTTAAAGACTGCAGAAAAGTAAAGCAGAAATGTTCTGTGGAAGGGGAGGGGAAATCCAGAACTGGGAAACGGAACAGATAGTTAAAAGCAACAAATTGGCCATTAATATGTTTTCATCTGAAATGAAAAGACTGTCAAGAATTAATAGGGTTAGCTGTCTGTGAGACTCTTTGGAACACACTGTCGTCAGCAGCAGCACCTCATTGCATGCGAGACCGCTGGATACATTTAACTAGAATAGCTGGCAATTTCTTTCCTCTGTGGTAATCCTTCTGGCACAGCATCTTGGGTCCTAATAGTACTACTGCTTACAATGTGTATAGCAATTCATGGCACTCAAAACACCTCATGTATATTACTGCAAGACACACACAGAAGAATGAGGTGATGTACCATGTCAGGATTCAGGTCAAATATTCCATTTTGCAGTGTTCAACTTACAATAGGAAATTGGCACAGCAAGCAAAGCAAGTGAGTAAACTTGTTCAGACCTGGAATCTCCCACCGGCAGTCTACAGTCCATTCTACCACTTCACTCTGCTGCATGCACAAACATGGCCTCATTAAAGGCCCTCATATTGGATACGTGGGAGTGAGCAAAGTTAGCACTGGCTTGCCAAAGGCCACCAAGCAAGTTCATGCCAAAGGTGACATTTGAATTGGGGAATTACTAGTTCACACCTTACTCTCTTAGTCACTGCACTACACTTTTGGGGCAAGTTAAAACATACACTCTAAGCAGTTCATAATGCAGCAGGTGTTGACTGTTGGCAATACATTTTCCCAGCACTTAAAGCTTCTATCTTTTCATTGCAGAGTCCAATTTCAAATACTCCTTGTGACCATTAAAGCCCTACATAGTGTGGAGCAGAATATTTTAAGTATAACCACCTGGTGGTACATGAGTCTACCTGAGCTGTAAAATCTCATCATAACCCCCCCCCCCTTCAGTAGTTAGATAACAAAAGATAACCGCTTTTCTAACCCTCCACTTGGCACTAAACCTACTGACCGTACAATACCCAGCTAAAACTTTATTTTGGCACGCATTTTAAATTGTGATTTTTAAATTCTTCCTATGCCTTGATTTTATTTGTACTTTGTCAGCTTTCTTTTAACCTATACTGCTGTTTTTACATTTGTTATATTTTTACGCTGTTGGATTGTAAGAGGATGTGTGAGTTTTCTGTGCGCTCTTTTAGTACTTTGGTGATAACCAAACCAAATATTATCCAGTTTAGCTAGGGCAGCCATCAACTAATCTTTCAAGATCATGTACTTTTACATTTGCTTCCAAGGGGTGTGCCCCATGCATTTAATGGGAAAAGTTTCACACAAGTATAAGAAATAATTTATTTTTGAAGTAAGAAATGGAAACCTTATAAGAGTCAGGGCTTGCTAACTTAAAATTCAGCAGCTTTCTGATATGGGATGTTTTTAAAAATTGTTAATTTACATACTTTCCGACTTTTCTGATATCCTGACCCAGTCCCAAGTAAAGGAAAATAATTAGGAGTATGATTCTCATTGTACACCTTTGTCATGTTTACTCAGTTCTGTTAGATATTATTTCCCAGAACTTAGGATTCATGAACAAGATGCTGCATTATACTGAATCAGACCCTTAGTCCATCAAAGTCAGCATTGTCTAGTACTCAGACTGGCAGCAGCTCTCCAGGGCCACAGGCAGAGGTCTTTCATATCACCTACTGCCTGGTCCTTTTAACTGGAGATGCCAGGGACTGAACCTGGGACTTTCTGCATGCCAGGCAGATGCTCTGCCACGGCCTCTTCCCTGAAATGTAGCACTTGTACTTGCAGTTCAACTTTCTCTCAGACAGCATTCCTAAAGAGATTTTTTTAACAGACACACTGGGACACAGAATATCAGATCTTTTCAAGACAAGTTTTATAGTAGTGTTTGTAAGGTGAGTCGATTGATTTCACTATTGTTTGAATGCTCCAAGTCCTTTCTTTTCTTAGATACCAAATGCTAATCCACTGGGGGGAAATTACTTCTGAATATAAGCAACCAGGGTCTGCATAATGTATTGTGAGGCAGGCCCACCCCATGCTGTCTTCCCCATAGATCAACCTATATTACACAAAGCATGTCCCAGACAGCAGCTGTATTGCGAAGTGGGGCTTGCAAATCTCCAGATGGTTCACAGAGGCGAGCTAAGCAACATAGTGCAGGTCAGGGAGAATTAATAGCTCATCCGTCCTGGAAGAGAATTCTTTTCCTCAGGCTCTAAGCATGAACGAAACCTGCCCTTTGAGATGAACCCAAGTGTGTTTACTAACCACCTATAAAATCTGGCCTAGCCTACTCCTGTATCTCTAAGAGCAGTTTAATCTACCCCTAGCATCTGTAACTTCATTTGATGTACCTTTGTGCTACTCAAGTTTCCTTCTCCAGACTGTGGCATTTCCTGACATCCCAAAGAAACCACGTGAGAGCTTTTCCTACTCCAAATAGTTTAGAGCTCAGCTTTCCCTAGCCTGAGGATTGGTGGGGAAAAGCGGTGCCCGTCACACACCTGGAACAGGGCCTACTCAGTAAAAAGAGTAAGGGGGCATTCTCAGAGTGGAGCAAAGTAGCTGGAAGACTACCAAAAAGGCCAGAAAAGCAGCAGCAACTAAAACCTTTGTGAGAACCATCTCCTCCTGCAGGGGCACAAGGGGTTAACTTCCTGCTAGTCTGCAACACATTCTGTTAATGGGAAAGAGGCTGTTTATGATTGGGTGACTATGACATAATGCTGTCAGATAAGAGCCAATAAGAAACCATCTTATCTAATTTCAAGTCCTGGGTCTAGTCTTTATTAATATTTTGCTTTGCCTGATACAGTAGAAGATTTGATTAGTCTTTAATTGCAATGTACTGTACCTATTCTGGAGAGGGAGCAGAGAAAAAGGAGGGTTTCTACCAGATGGTTAAACAGCAAGAAAGCCTCAGTGAAATGACAGCCCATCTCCTCCCTTCACCATAGCCCCAAGCTCACAGCTACATTACAGATGTTATAACATGCTTATATTATGAATTTGTTGGGAATGGGTTGTAGTGTCATAACAAAAGCCCTAGCAATATACACAATGAACAGAGAACAGGACCAGTTCAAGGTATCCAAGTACCTCACCAGTCAGCAAACCCAAAGGCCCTTTTCCTGCCCTTTAGATTTCCACATAGGGTCCAACCTAGCTGGCAGTTCTGCACAAGCCTTGACTACCAGCCTGCTCTTGGGCAATTTCCATTTCTGTCCTTAACGCTTATGTAGAACAGCTTCCCAGGTGATTATCCCCACTGAGTCAGAACCATCTATCTCCAACAACCCTTACCATCCAAAATCCATTCCTCGAGGTGGTCACCTTAACTTGCCTTGACAAAAAACATCCCTGGATTCCAAATACTGCAAACAAAGTAGCTGAAGCGATATAGTGTTACAGCATCAACATATGTAGTGTAAGTGTATATATATATAAAAGCTATCACAACAGTTCTTTTTATCTGGGGAAATACATGGATGGAGATAAGTAAATGCAGTTTTCTCAATCAGGATAATCTTCCTTGATCTGAACCTGAAGTGGGCAAAGCTTGAGTGACTCAGATGAAGACTCAACAGCTTCTACACCACAGATGCAGAAGTATGGGACGACTTCTGCAAAATTGTCATGGAAAGTATAAATATGACTCTTGTGCTCCGCGTTGTAGAATGACAGCTCCCCTTCATCACAGTCCAGCTCCACTCTGACCTTCTTGAGGTCCTTCCCGCTCGCAGCCCCCAGCAGGATCGACTTGGAGGACTGGCATTTCTTGTTGCTGTCGCCCTGCATACGATACATGTACGCGAACCCGAGGTAGGAATCGCTGCCAAAGCTCCACTGGTAGCCACAATGCTTCCTAGCCACTCCAATGCACCAGTTATCAATGCCGCCAATATCTACTTCCCAAGCATGAGATCCTTTGGGAAAGCTCTTGGAGCCCAGGACACAGGGTAATCCAGCAGAGAAACGTTCTGGGACATCCACCAACAGCTTGTAGTTTCCAGTGGAAATACTGGCGAGGTCATCAGAGACAGACAGCCTTCCTGCAGATGTGTTGGGATCGAAGCTGAATGGGACTGCAAAGGAGAAACCAGTCATTGAGAGCAAGGGGGGGAAATATGATGAGAAAATGACCAACTTCCAACATTTTAAAACAGACATTAAACCTTGCCTCTGTAAAGGAGACAAAGCCAAAAGGTAACAACTAGGTACAGAGACCATATATGTCTGAATAACAGCTATTGGGAGGAAAATGAAGGTGGATCAGCACCATAGCGCCCCAAGAGTTCCTGTGTTCCATATCACTGCCTACCACAGCATCGCCTAGGTCAGAATTTCTCAGACTTTGTTTTTAGTTCTCTTTGTGATGGCTGTTTAATTCTGGGCACACAGTTCAGTCATGGCAAGTTAACAAATGCAGATATTTTTTTTTTTTTAATGAACATGTTATTAATTTGGATTCCTTAATTCTTAAGTCCCTCCCCTTCTTGCTACATCTCTGGGGACAAAACAATAGATCAACAGAGAACCCCATTAATTTTTAAGGTAGTTCTGACGCAATTACCAGTATAGAATCCAAAAGGCTAAAAAACAATATTGTAAACTATTTCTACAAAAACAGATGTCTTTAATAAATCAAAAGTGGTACTTGACAACTACATCCTTTTTCTTCACAAACAAGAAATTCAGACCTGTATGCTGTGCATACATGCAAAAAGAAAAGAACAGGAGTGATGGTCTCTTGTTAGAGGCTTCAGTGCTTTTGCAGGAGTAGGCGCACTAACTTACTACTTGCCATGGCACGCTAGGGGCACTTAATTTGCAAATATGTACCAAACTGATATTTCTACATCATGGACAAAGGTTCACCACAGTGAGAAACTGCAAAGAAGGAACACCGCCCACCTCGCCCATCTTCCTTGGAACAAAAACAGCAAAGAATGCCTTACATCAAGACACCACCGTGGGACTAGATGTGGGTTACACCAGTTCTCCCAGATCGGGGGGGGGGGCGGGGGGGGAGAAACATTATCAAAACTCAGTCCAGCTAGTTCTCTACCAGTTCAGTTTTGGATCCCAAAGCCAGCCCTGACTATGACTTGAGAAGAATGTCCAATGCATATACTGGAGACATAAATTCCTGCAGCAGTACATTGCTGTCCTCTACTGGCTATAAAGAGCATCTGCAAGAGCCCAGAAACACTTTAAATAAATAGAACCAGACAAGAAAAGCAGTAGCACTTTTTTTTTCAGGGGAGGGGGCAAATTCACCGGAACAGCTTCTGATCCAAGTTCTTCTCACACACGCTGGGTTTTTTCTCTACAGGATTCAAAATGATTTTCTCACATTGCCTCCCTCTATCCCAAATTTCTCTACATCTCTTCCTCTCAAAGCTGCTTTCCCTGAAGAGGTAGCCTTAATGTTCCAATAGGAATATATAGCTTAAATGTGCCTTTAGCCCTTTCCTGCACCACTCCAACACTTTTTTCTTTACACCCAAAGCAACGGGTACAACCTCTCCTTGCTTCCATTACACACTATCACTAACAGAGATCAGAACACTCACTTTGCTCACAAGCATGCACTGAAAGAGTGTGTGGGAGGGAACATGCCTTTCTCTTATCCTGCTTGAGTGTGTGATGAAGCGGGGCTGAAATTTAAGGGCTAGATAATTGTATATACAGCTCTGAGTAATGTTCGCCCCCAAATATGGGTGTGTAACCGCAGACTGTGACAGCAGCCATGAAATTAAAAGACGCCTGCTCCTTGGGAGGAAAGCGATGGCGAACCTAAACAGCATGATAAAAAGCAGAGACATCACCCTGCCAACAAAAGTCCGCATGGTCAAAGCAAAGGTATTCCCAGTAGTCACGTATGGCTGCGAGAGTTGGACTATTAGGAAGGCCGAGCGCCGAAGAATAGATTCTTTTGAACTATGGCGCTGGAGAAGACTCTTGAGAGTCCCTTGGACTGCAAGAAGATCAAACCAGTCAATCCTAAAAGAAATGAACCCTGACTGTTCCCTGGAAGGCCAGCTAATGAAACTGAAGCTCAAATACTTTGGCCACCAAATGAGAAGGGAGCACTCACTGGAGAAGACCCTGATGCTGGAAAAGATTGAAGGTCAAAGAAGACGGGGACGGCAAAGAATGAGATGGTTGGACAGTGTCATTGACGCAACGAACATGAAATTGAGCCAACTTCAGAGGGCAGCAGAGGACAGGAGGGCCTGGCGGGAGCTGGTCCATGGGGTCGCGAAGAGTCGGACTCGACTGTGCGACTGAACAACAGCAACAAACTCTGTGTTGCTTTACACACTAGATATGCAGCAAGCAACTTCTGACAAAACACATTTTATAGCATCCTTTTAAAAGGGCCTGCCTGTCCTCCTGCTCGCCAGCCCACTATAAGGTCAAGAAGATGCAAACTGAGCAACTTTTAGAGAGAGCAGCTGTTAACAGAGTGCTTAAAGCGAATGAACTGTGGTTCAGTTCTCTAGGAGCCTTAGGCATGGCATTTCTTCAGCCCCAGCCCCCACCTCCAAGGAAGGGTAGTATTATCCCTGTCTGACAGGGTTGCATGGATTACTGTTAGGGATTTCTATGTAAATGCAGAGTTAATAAATGCAGCAGAACACTTGTATTAGCTTTTAAACAAAGAAACTTTACTAATGAGGGAGGGTAAATCTGGGAGCTGAAAGTAAGAAAACAATGCAGGAAATATCTTCCTGTCTAGCTACTCTATAATAACCTACATCTTTTCGTAGGGACTTCTATACCTCGTGTGATGATGAACTAGAGAAGGACAAAGAGCAATAAACCTGAAACCCAATGAATACTCTGTAGTAGTCCACACCCAAAGTATTGATTACCAAACTGGAGAGTGCCAATGCTAACTAATCATGCATTTTGTCACTTTGCTCTGGCAGCAACTCATGCAGGCTTCCCCACTGGGTCTCAACTAGCTAAGACATCAGCATGCATAAACAAACAGTAAATTCTTTCATGATTACAGAGAGAGAACTTGCAAATCCCAACAACTACATCAAGACAATCAGACACTGAAAGCACTACACAAATGCTTAAATATTACAGAAACCAAGTCTAGCCACATCTGTTTCCACAAACATGCAGGATTCTCTTTTGTAAGCAGTTCAGACTTATTTTGCCATACAATATGAACCGATCTTGACTTACTGAAGAGCATGGTACTTTAATTGTCCCAGGGAACGGTTGTTGTTGTTGTTGTTTTAAAGGCACAATTGCCAATTCAGACATGTACCTGGTTGGTCCATGGCTTACCTAGTATCCCCAATTCAAACTGGAGCTAAAAATCTGAGTTTTGGCAGGATTGCATCCACAAAATTAGCTAAATCAAATCATGAAATTCAGCATCACCTCCCACTGCCCTGCTTTAGACTGTCAGCTCACAATGCTCTAGAAAAGCCAGACAGCAGAATTCTCTCTTGTACACAAAGCCACAGAAGCCCTTTCCGTGTCTAGACCTACATCCCCATGCTTTTGGCACTTACAGGTTTGCCTGTATTAGGCTAAGGCTTTGCTCTTCGTCATTAGCCTGCCTTGACAGGGAGGGTGGGGTATAAATTGAATTAATAAATATAAATAAATACTTTTCCTCACGGTTACTTTACTTTGGGACATCCTCCGGTTCTACAGAATTTAGGATGCCCTATGCAGCTCCCATAAAGCCTGCAAAAAGTTGTAAATCACAGCTGAACTAAGAGCTATTCCTTCTCACAGAAGCTGAATGGTGAGCATTTCTACTGCAGGTGCATTTGTTCCATGACATCGTGTTGGTTCAACTCGTCTCTCACCAGGCATTTCACTGCTACAAGCACTATACAATATGGATAACACTCATCCATCTGCCCACTTACATAGTTCACCAGTCTCCACAGTTTGGCTAGATTACAATCTCATATTCTTATTTCACACAGTTTCTCATAGATCACAGTAGCTTCTCCATTTCTGCAAATTCCCCAGTGGGTGGGGCAGCGGGGGTTGGAACAAGTCCCTTCCCTGCTGCCACCAGCCTGCCCTGATCACTAGAAGAAGACTGCAGGGTGCTGTCCTATACAAGAAGCTGTTTGCCTTAAAGAAAATCCATGCACCTCTGTGAACATGCCATAAAACTCTTCAGCTACACTCAGGCAGGAAAGTAGTGACACACGTGATAAATGATCAGCTGAGAAACCAAAAGAGTCTTGCATGACAGGGCTAGCTTGTCCCTGGGGCCAGGATGAAAAGGTTTTAATGCATTCAGCTTAGAGCCCTAAAATGATGCAGGACATTGTGGGGTTGGGTAAGGCTGGTCTGATGGGAGTTGGGAGATCCAGCTCCCACCCCCTCCAAGGCTCGGTCCCACAGAGATCCTGCCAGCTGAGAAACGAAGAGTTAAAACAGTCGATTTGTTTGAAGAAAGCACACCAAGGGGAGGGGGGAGGATCCAGCAGCTTCACGCCCGTTCTTCAGGGGGAAAGAATGCCAAGGTACCATCAGACTACGTGTAGAATAGTTAGCTATTCTCTTTGGGGTTTGTTTCCTAGATTCTGCAACATACCTCTTTGTTGCACTCTCATCTCATCTATGTGGATTCTTTGTGTAGGATGTATGTGTTAGCTCAGATAGGCTTATACACAGTCTCTCTCTCTCTCTCTCTCTCTCTCACACACACACACACACACACACACACACACACACCAAAAAAACAAACAAATGCAAAAACTTTCTGGAGATTCAAGGCACTGAAAAGATTTTGGGGCACACAGAATCAGGGATACTTTGAGTGGTAGCTGATTCTAGCCAAGGACACTAAAACCAAGAAGGTAATTTGGGGAGGAAAGGATTTCCCCAAGAGAGTTAGGATTTCTCATAAGCATGCACCCCAGGCAGCTGAGCTCCCTTGGCCACTTGCAGTCTTACAGTAAGTTATGTTTGGGGTGCGAGGAAAGAATGAAGAACCCCATTCCATCACGATAGATGCCATTTCCCAGAAAGGTGGGGTCAGTCCCTGCGGCCATCACTTATTTTCCTCACTCACCAGAGTCCGCTCTAAAGGGTACAGAGATCAGGCATTTGCCAGTTCCTCCAGGCCAAGACGTCCATAATCCAAAATAGCCCTGCTGTTTCCACTTGGTACAAAACACCCAAGAAAGCCAAAGCACAACAGACTTCTCCATTTGCACACCGTGCCTCTTTCAGAATGCAGAGGGGCTTTCTAGGGGAGTCTCACTGACTCATCCAGCACTTAAGGCAAACTCAGTGAAGTTACAGGAGTGTTTTTCATGCATTCTCATCTGAAGACAGCAATACCGTTTCTAAGCAAGGGTATTACAGAGTTTCAGTATGTGCTACCTGCCTTATGTTACCTTTAGCATGGTCTTCTACATACATCACCTGGCACCTTCAGAAACGTACCTACTTTGATGATATTCAGCATTTTCTTCCATATGTTGTATTGCAAGGAATCCAGGTATTTTGTAATTTCTATCAACATCCCTGGGGGAACAGCTTCGGGCTCCTCCACAGTCCAGGCAATTCTGGAGAGCACAATCCAGATAAAGCAGGGTGTGAGAATCTATGGTTAGGAAGCACCAAGCATGTGGCAAACTAGCCAAAAGCTCTCCCTTGAACTTAAAATGCTTGAGATCACGACGACATGCAAGCTGTCTGTTTTCTCCTGTACAAGCATGAATTTGTGGATTATCTTTCCTATTTTTAAAAAAGACTTCTAGTCCTCATATTTGCAAATTTGGAAATGCAAAGTGATCTGTTCTGGGTGTTTAAGCACACATGCGCAGCCCCAATATGTGCACAGAGCTCTCCAAATGGATTCCACATCAAGTTCAGAAAAGAAAAAACCAATCCATGCACATAATTCCTGAGTGTGCATGGAGCGGATTTCTCAGTTGCTTAGAGATGAGCCACCCCAAAGGCAGTCAGTTTCCTTGCCAGAAGTAGCATGAGAGTTGCAGTTCATGTGCTGCTTTGGGCATGCTCCCCTGTGGAATGAGAACATTTTGCAGAATCTTTGGAGAGCCTAGGATAACAGAGATCTGAAGTGGAGAGCTGCCACTTCAAGGATGCAGTCTACGAAAGAACTAGGACCTTTCTATCCTTATATCAATAGATTGTTCACATCACAACAGGAAACACTTGACCTACCTGCGCTTCCGGTTTTTGTGTTTCTGAAAGGAAAGAGAGAGAGAAAGCCGTGTTAAGAAGTTACATTTTTAACTGAACTGCTGCCGAGGGACCAGGACAGGGAAACCCGCCATGTGGAAGCCCTATGGACACTGCTCTATATTAGCAGCTGCACCAGCAATAGAGAAACCACATAAGCCTGTCCCCATTTGGAAACCACCAGAGTCTTATTTATCTTATTTCTAGTCTGCTTTCCTTACTGAGACTCAAGGTAGATGACAAAATTAAAGACCAATGCAATATAACCAGGATAATGAATACACAATGCAATGAAAACTGCCTAATTTTTTCCCCAAAGAGAGCCAGTTTGGTGTGGTGGTTAAGAGTGGCAGACTCTAATCTGGAGAACCGGGTTTGATTCCTCCACATGAAGCCAGCTGGGTGACCTTGGGTCAGTCACCGTTCTCTCAGAGCTCTCTCAGCCCGACCTACTTCATAGGATGCCTGCTGCGGGGAGAGGAAAGGAAGGGGATTGTAAGACATGCTAAGACTCCTTCGGGCAGTGAAAAGCAGGGTATAAGAACCAGGGTATCTGCCCCCATCTTCCCAAGCACTCTGCCTATTAAAGGCAGTGGTGGGAAAGCATAATACAGGGTCCTGGCCCACTGTATTTGGAAGGCATCTCCGAGGAATAACGGATCTCTTCCCCCCCATGAGTAAAAGTTTGGAGCTTTCGCTGAACTCCTTGTAGCAAAGAGGTCCACATGAGGGGACCCCCATGCTAGGAAAATGGGCAGAAGGTACCTGTACTGAATGGACCACTCGTAAGTCCCGAGGAAACGGCTCAATCTGTCTGCCTGCACATTCTGAGTGCCAGCAGTGTGAATGGCTCGAGGGGTGACTTGTATATTTTTTGCTACCAACCAGAGTGCCCTCGCTTCCTGACAGAGCCTCATGGAGCCCCGTGCCACCATGCCTGTTTAGGTAGTACATTGTGGAAATATTGTCTGTCTGAACTAGAACGTTCATGCCCTGCACGATGTCTGAGAAATACGTTAGGGCTAACCTAACAGCTCTCAATTCAAGAACATTAATATGAAGTTTCTGTTCAGTAGCTGACCATTTACCTTGAGCTCAGTGCTCACCACAATGGACTCCCCAGCAAAGTAAGGACGCATCAGTCGTAATTGGTGATGTCAGGCACCCAGAAACCAAACTGTACCCCAGGAAATAGGTTACTGTCTTGCATCCACCACCCTAGAGAATGCAGAATTGCCCTAGGGATGGAAAGACGGCAATTTGGGACCTGAACGTTGGGCTTGTATTTCCTCAAGAACCATAACTGTAGGTCCTGCATCTGCAACCTGGCAAAAGGAACCACTGCAGTGGTTGATGCCATCAGACCTTGAATTGATTTTACAGGTTGCCAGCGGTTCTTGCAGAAGGCCAAAACCAAAGCCCTTATACTTCTCGCCCTCTCCATAGGTAAGAAAGCTTTACCCACTGTAGAGTTGAGGAAAGCACCAATAAAAGTGACAGTTTGAGAAGACTCTAACTTGGACTTCTCTGTATTTAGCAGTAATCCCAAACTCCTACACGTGCCTGTAACTGTCTTAACCTGATGCTGAAGAGAGTCCTTTGTAAATACCCATGGGGCCGTTGCCAAACCAAAAGGTAGAGATGAGTACTGGTAAATATCATCACCATGCCTGAACCTAAGGTATTTTCTACGTGGTTCATAAATTGAAATATGAAAATATGCATCCTTCAAGTCCAGGATTGAGGACCGCATATTTAATGAAAGAAACTCAATTACTGATGACGGAGACCATCCTAAATTTGGCAATAAACAAATGATTGTTTAATAACCAGAGGTCTAAGATGGGCCAGAACCCCCATCCTTCTTATCCACAGCAAAAAACCTAGAATAGAAACCCATTGAAGTCAAACCCTTTGGAACCTTTTGAATCACTCCTTTAGAAAAGAGTTCTGCCAACTGGGTTGTGAGTTCTGGAGTATTATCAATAGCCGCGGAACCCAAACACAACTGGGGATGGGACCAAAACTCTAATCTATAACCCTGAGAAATAATAAAGCCCAAGAATCTGAACAAATAGAACTCCAACTTTGAGAAAACCTTGCTAAACAGTTAACAAATGAAAGAGTGCCCCCCTCAGGGGCGTCATCATGTCACAATTTAGATTGTTGTTGACCCATTTCACACTGATTTTGCTGCTGGGCCGGTCGTGTACGGGAAGTGCCTCTATGTCTCTTAACACCATTAGATTGAAACTGGCGCTGAGGATATGGCAAGTAATGCTGTTGAGGCTGACACTGATTTCTGTATGGATACACTTGAACGGACTGCTGTCTATGTTGAAAGCGGTAGCCTTGGCTAGCTGTCCCTGAATACACACTTAGGGACCGAGCAGTTTGCTTGCTCTTAATATTCAATAGAAATTCATCTGTAGACTCAGCAAATAAAGTTGAACGTTCAAAGGGGAGATCCTCTACCCTTGATCTGGTCTTAACTGGTAATGCTGTTTTGGAGCCATGAATGCCTGCGCAGAACAATGCCTGATGCCATAGAATGCACAGATATTTCAGCTGAATGTTTTCCAGCATTAATTTGTTGCTTTGACAGCTTTATAGCCTCATCCTGAATAAGTTTTGCTAAACCTTGAGCTTCCCTTGGCAGATGCACAAATAAAATTTTCCTCCTAAGAAGCCCAGACGATGGCTCTCCTTATCAGTTGGTGACACATGATGACCTGGTCTACGATGAAACTGCATTTCCTCAATTATGATGGATGATGGTCTTGGGTGGTTGAACAAATGCTCTGATACCTCTGGTTTAACTTGGTAAAGTGTCTCTATTTTTCTTGGGTTGGCCTGAGCAGAGGCTGGGTTCCTCCAAATAGGAACTGTCAAGTCCTCCAAGCCTTGCAAAATAGGGAAAGCGACAGAAGTAGGTGTTTCAGAATGCAAATGGCTAAGGATTTTGCCCTTAGGTCTTTCATTGGATGTTGAAATGTCAATTTCAAGAGCTTTTGCCATGCGAACCATTTGTTTGCTACATAGCTTTAAATCCTCACCTGGCGTCACAGGAGATGGATCACTAATGACCTCCTCAGGAAATGGGTCAGAGGCAGTGTTCCCTCTAAGCTGAGTTAGTGTGAGCTAGCTCACTGTTTTTTAGCCTCCAGCTCACAGATTTTTGTCTTAGCTCAGGAAGGATGGCTCCAGAGCAAACTAATTTATGCAGTAGCCAAATCACCTGCTCACAACTTTAATGCCAGGAACTCACAAAGTAGAATTTTTGCTCCTAGGACTCCACAGCTTACAGGGAACACTGGTCAGAGGTACTCTCAAGGCTGCAATGAGAAACAACTGACATCTCCTCCTGTTCCCTAAGTGGTGAGTGGAATGGGTAGACTGAGCTGGGCTCGTATACTGCTTTCCCAGAAAACATCTGATCATCTGTGCACTGGGGTTCCTGATTCCAGCGCTCTAGGTAGCTGGAGGACATGGAGTACTCTGGACCATGAAGTTCAACCTCAGTATGAGGAACTGCACCCCCATAGTTCACTGGATGAACAGGCTGTAAATTGTCATCCGTTTGGCTGTACTCCCTTTCCAATGCTAGTTCCTCATTAAATATTAAATGAGGTGAAGGGGTTCTCAGAACCGAAGGCACCCCCCATGGTTCCCTTCCCCTGCTCTCCGAAGGTTCCCCTGTTTTTCCCTGCCGTTTATGCTTCTTAGATATGGAGGGGGACCTCTCTCTATGCTTAGATTTCTTTTGCTTTTTAGCAACTGGTTCAGTCTCAGACCAATGTTCCCTCTAAACTGTGGAGTCTTGTGAGCAAAAATTCTACTTTGTGAACTACTGGCATTAAAGTTGTGAGTGAGCGATTTGGCCAGTGCATAAATTAGTTTGCTCTGGAGCCATCCTCCCTGAGCTGAGACAAAAATGTGTGAGTCGGAGGCTAAAAAACTGTGAGCTAGCTCACACTAACTCAGCTTAGAGGGAACACTGTCTCAGACCCTTGGATGGACGCAGTAGGTGCTGGGGGAACCTGCTCAGCACCCTCTGGTCTTGCTGACACAAGCAGGGGTCTTTTTTGTGGAACCAAAACAGAGCTCACTGGAACCGACTGGACAGACGGCAGTTTTGAGGTCTGCATGACAGAGGTACTTGCAGTTGGTACCGAGATTGTTGAGCGAGGACTGACATTTGGCAGTGATAGGGGTTGAGGCCAACACACTCTCTCCCCAAGAGCTGCTTTCAGCCGTGAAGCACGGTCAGCTCTTGCCTTAGCAGTGCACTTCTGACAAACTCTGCAGGCGCCCACATTGTGGCCTAAGCAGATCAAACAAAGTTCATGCTCGTCAGTGCGTGTCATTTTAAAGCCGCATCTCTGACATTTCTTAAACAAGGGCTTGGATGCCACCTCAGACGATCAAACGCCGGCAAGGCAAGAGTATTCACCTAAGGATCGGTTCAGGTATGACTTTCCCTCTGGTGGGGAATAGGACTGCCTTTAAACCGACAATATAATTTTTTCTGAATATCAGTAGGCTGCACAGCAAGACGGACGATGAACAATCCAGTTTTGACATTCTGGGACTGCCACTACAGCACAACAGGGGTAGGTGGAAGATACATTCTCCCCCATCCCCTCTGGACATAAAGATTATCCAGTGAACACAAGTCACCTCCACTCTAACCAGTGGTCTATCAAGGTCAATGTTGTTTACTTTGACAGGTAGCAGTTCTCTAGAGTTTGAGAGGGAGATCTTCTACATCACTTACAACCTGACCCTTTTAAGGGATGATGCCAGGGAGTGAACCTGGGACCTTCTGCATGCCAAGCAGATGCTCTATTACTATGTCACAGCTTCACCCCTGTGCACACTGAACCTCCTGCTGATTCTTGAAACAAATGCTAGACTAAATCAACCTTTGTCTGATTCAGCAAGGCACACAAGAGGAAACATTCCTGAATATGAACACAGGTTATTTATACTGTAAAGTAAAGGTAAAGGTTCCCTTGCTCGAAAGCCAGTCGAATCCGACTCTAGGATTGCAGTGCTTATCTCCATTTCAAAGCCGAAGAGCCAGCGCTGTCCGAATACGTTTCCGTGGTCATGTGGCCGGCACCAAGGCGCACGGAACACTGTTGCCTTCCCACCTAAGTGGTACCTATTTATCTACTTGCAATTTCTTGCTTTCGAACTGCTAGGTTGGCAGGAGCTGGAACTAGAGATGGGAGCTCACTCCATCATGCGGCACTCAGGTCTCGAACTGCTTCCACAGCCTGCAGTTCAGCGTCTTAACCACTTGAGCCACCACAGCTCTGTAACGGTTGAGAAATCCTAAACATTCTTGTTTCATAAACTTAAACACAAGTTTATAGCCAGGGCATGGCCAGGGGCTCTTTCAGGAAGAGGACAGATGGTGCCAGGTTGAAACTGCTAGGCTGAGTGTTTCCTCTCTCTCCTGCTGCAAGTATTTATAGCCTGGACGTGGGTCTTAGCTTGTGGATTACAGCTGGTCAAATTGACCTGGTGGACATCACTCCAGGATTTCCTATTTACTTTGGGTTTTTCTGGGTTTTTTTTTAAAGGACCGTGTGTACATTTAAGGTATTCTTGTAAGCCATTTTGTGACTTCACCAGGAAGGAAAGTAAGATAAAAATATACTGACTACACAGAAGTCATTGAAACACTTCTTGTACAAAAGCACAAGACAGAAGGCAGCCCGCACTTACAGGAAAAGCATCAAGCAGAATAAGTCTCCTGGACAAAACTCTGTAAGATCCTGCTTTGCCTTAACATGCAGTGCTGTGCATGCCATAGCAACTACTAAACAAACAAAAGCTCCCAGAGGGCTGTGGAGGTGGAAACTTCCCAGCTGATTCAGGATAGAGGCATTTGTCTCCTGACCTTACCTGGAGGAAGGAGACATCATCTTCTTTCTGGTCAGCCTGCAACTGGTCAATCTCCTGTTGCAAGACGCTGCTTTCTTCTGACAGCTTTTTGATCTTGTCCTCGATCAGGTCTTTCTTCTGCTCGGTCTCCACCTGCAGCTCCTCCAGCATGGCCTTCTCCTCACTCCACAGGAACTCATGGAGTTGTTCAAACTGCTTTTTCATCTCATTCTCCAGCCTGACACTTTCTACCTGTTGGCAAGTGGTGGTGGGAAGGTCAATGAGGAACAAAAGACATAAAAACAAACAGGGATGCGAACTCCACCAGTGAGCAAACCTGTGATTTATCATCCTACCAGAAGGGGGGGGGTGAGAGCAGGAACTGGAGGTACGGGTCCTTGCCAGGAATGAACAGGGGCCAATCTGTGAAAGACTTGTCTTTAAAAAAAAAAAAAAAAAAAAAGGCTGTCAGCTCTTAGGTTGCTTTCACACATCACTGGATAATGCACTCACAATGCACTATAGCAATCTCTGGCCAGTTTCTTCATACCCTCCATGCATCTGACGAAGAGAGCTGTGTTTCTCAAAGGCTTATGCTACAATAAAGTTTTTTTTTTAGTTTTAAAGTTGCTACTGGGCTTTTTACTATTTCATAGCGATCGTTTGCAACTGGATTTTCCTGTGCAAAACAGGAAAATCCAGTTGCGATTGCTATAGTGCATTAAGAGTACATTATCCAAAAGTATGTGAAAGCACCCTTACTCTGCTCTCAAGAGCAGCTTGGGAATAAGGATTCCAACCACAACCCTGTAATTACTATGCCTTGACCTGGATGGCCCAGCCTAGCCCAATCTCGTTAGATCTCAGAAACTAAGCAGGGTCGGCCCTGGCTAGTACTTGGATGGGAGACCAACGAAGAAGTCCAGGGTTACTATGCACAGGCAGACAATGGCAAACCACCTCTGAATGTCATTTACCTTGAAACCCGACCAAGTTGCCCTTAACTGCAACTTGACAGCACTTTCCATCACAACACATATAAGAGAATAACCTTAAGCATCACTGTTTTTAATGAGGTACTTGCCTGAAAAGCTGCACTTGCCAATGATTTCCCTTCTGTTTAATGGCTAACAAAATACCTGTCCTGATGACAAATGGCAGGCACATGAAAGGAGCCCATAATATATGTCCCTAAGAGCAACGTTTCACTCTCTCCGCAATAGCAGTGCTGAGTGCAGCACTTTTCTCTGTATAACTAATTATTTATGCACAAAGTGTCCAAGAGATGCTCTGAGACATCTCTGGGGCGGAGGATAAGCTGCTACCTGATCCCAAGCTCAAAGGGCAGCCCTTAGAAGCAAGACTGCTCCTATTCATGCTCCGCCATTATGGATTTTGTTTCTTGCTCACACTAGTGTGTGGGCCAGAAAGCTGGGAACTGTTTTCTAGATGAACACATAGCAATATGACAACTGGAACAGGAGAGAGTGGACAAGGCTATGTCTTCAAGTCCCTACCTGGCATCCAGGGCCCTGACACAAGCAGATGCTTGCTTATATGTGCTTGCTTTTGCTGTTCAGCCAAGGGTAGTGCTACAGTAAGAGGACTGATAAGCCAGAATCCAACCTAACTCTGCCGTACCCCCAGTTAACCATTAGAGATTAAACACCATAATCCAGAGCACCATAAACCACAGGCAAAATGAGTAGTATGCCAAGATCACATGGTCTCAAAACACAGTGGGACTCCCTTCTCCCCCAACTATATTGAACTTGTAGCCAGCCGAACACACATACAAATAAACCCAGCAGAAGAAAGCCATCTGTTTGATACTCGCAGGTACCTTGTTGTGTTTAGCAATTTGTCTGTAAGATGACTGTACTCTTCCAAATTCTTGCATTTTATCCCATAGAGATCGTTCCATGTCTTTGCATTTGGCCTAGATAATAAGAGAAAGGACTTCAATGTTTTCCATCCTGTTTGTAGAAAGGGGAAGCCTCCATTTCAAAAAAGTGTCAATTCGATATTGCAGTTTAAGAAATTGGATGTTCTGTTGTTTATTGTCTGCCTTTATCACTGAGACTCAAGGTGGATTTCATAGTATTAAGTCAATACAATTAATAGGATGAAGAGACATCTAATAATGTAGTAAATCTAGTATTGCAGAAATCTGGAACAGGGTATAAGTATTAAACAGGACACGTTATTCTGCAAGAAATAATATTACATAGGTAGAAATACAATGCAGTGACAGCAAGGTAGAAACATAGCAACAGATAATACATAGTAATATAGTCAACAGTCCCGTTCCCCTCCACTGAAATGTCTTTCTGAAATATTCTGTTATAATGCAGCCCTGTTCATTTATTAAAAAATACCCTCCTGAACCGTTCTGTTTTACATACTTGGTGGAAACCCAAAAGGGGAGGAGCCTTCCTGATCTCCTCAGGCATGCCATTGGGTAGGACACACTACAGAGAATGCACGTGGGTACAGGCAGTTGTTGATTCCCCCTATTTGTAGGGTAGCACCGGTTCAGAGGATTGAAGTTGTTGCAGTAGAACAGAGGTGGAGAGGTGGTTCTGCAGATATGAGGGCCCAAGGCCACGAAGTGTTTTGCAATGTGGTGGCAGAGCAGCCTGTAGCAGTGATTGGCTGAACTGCTGTGAAATCATGGAATATTCACAAAGATTCTAGCCCAGGGGTGTCAAACTCATTTGTTATAAGAACCGGATCTGACATAAATGTCACTTTGTCAGGCTGGGTCATGTGTGCCATAAAAAGTAATGCGAGGTACCAGAGTTACAAACTTTATAAAGGACACTAGCAAACCCAATTAACAATATTATTTTTTACTCAAAATACAAACAAAAGCAATTGATTCCTACCAATGAAAACAATTGATTTACTGGGGAGCCCACAAAAGCCCCAACAAATGTATTTAATCATATGCAAGACTAGGTTTTTCCAAGGGATACCATGAAATATCTTATATTTCCATACATACCAACTGCTTGCAGGCCGGATAAGAGCCCTGGAAGGGCCAGTTCTGGCCCCGGACCTTATGTTTGACACCCCTGCTAGCCTCTTAGAACATTCAGAACATCAAAAGCGTCCAAACAGTCGAGCTGGCATTGAGAAGCAAAATGCCAGCTTTGGTTGGAAAAAACCCCTCTCACAGGCCCTAGGAGCAGGGTGAGGTTAGAAGGCAGACCGAGGCCTAGAACGTAGAGTAGTGGTCTTAGTAAGTGGTCTTAGTAAGTAAGGGAGCAAAGAGGCAGTGAGTTCAAAGGTATCAGAGAATAGTTAAGGAAAATAAATGGCTAATGGGAGGAAAGGGGGTAGAATTCAGAAGAAACCTCATGTCCTTGAACCCCACTGAAGGGCTGCAATCCAACAATGAAGGTGGTCTTCTGGTGTGGGATCTTCTTTTCACCTGACAACTGAATGGAGTATATGCACGGTGTTCTGATTTTCATATCCCTGGATTAAAGGCAAATTAAAGGCAAATTCCGTATCCTTGGGGAGGAGTCATAAGACTACCGATCCACCTAATTCAGCATACTGTTCTGCACAGCAGCCAACCTGTTGCTATAGACAGCCAAACAAACAGGACACTGAGGCTAAGGACCCCTTGCTGCTGCCTCCCAACACTGTTATTCAAGGCCTGCTGCCTATGGATACGGAGGCTCCCTTTCGTCACCATGGCTAATAGCCATGGATGGATCTTTCCTCCACAAATCTAACTTTTAAGGCTATCTGTGCTTGTAGTAAATTCCACAGTTTAATTCTCATTGAGTAAAGACTTAATCCCATTCATCTGTCCTGAACCTATTACCCAACTATTTCATTGGATGCCCCCCATCCGGTTCCAATATTATGGGAAAGGGAGAAAAAGCCCCTTTTAACCACTCTCTCCACCTCCATCATCATGTCCCCCCCCCTTAGTTGTCTCGTCTCTACACTGAAAAGTCTCAGACTCTCCAGCCGTTCCTCATAGGAAAAATGCTCGAACCCCCTAATCATCTCGGTTGCCCTCCTAGGTACTTTTTCCAGCTCTGCAATATCTTTTTTGAGCTACAGCAACCAGAATGCCACGCCGTATTCCAAATGAGGCCGCATCATAGCTTTATACTTTATGTTCCCCGGGTAATACTCCAGGTCCCAGAAGTAGATTGTGCCTCACACATTAACCTCCCTTCACAAGGTATCAGACCCCTTAAACAAGGCTCCCCAGGTAGAGACCACATGCACTCAGACATAGCCATACATCCCAGCAGGGCTCTTTTTGTAGAAAAAGCCCAGCAGGAACTCATTAGCATAACAGGCCACACCCAACAGCAGGAACTCATTAGCATATTGGGCCACACCCCTGACAGCACAGCTCATTAGCACATTAGGACGCACCCCCATGTTACCCGAAGTGTGGTTATCCAGCCACACCCACCTTTTGCTTGTTATTCTGTTTACCTTGTTTGTTGTCAAAACCCAGGGCTTTTTTGTAGCAGGAACTCCTTTGCATGTTAGGCCACACACCCCTAATGTAGCCAATCCTAATGAGTTCCTGCTTTTGGGTGTGGCCTATTATGCTAATGAGTTCCAGCTGGGCGTGGCCAACTTGGGAGCCAGCCAGAACTCCGTTCCTTGCGTTCCTGCCCAAAAATAGCCCTGCATCCTAGTATGTATAGCTACACACACGTAGGATGTAAAGAGATGAAACATTCACAGTACAGAACTTTTTTTTTTCTGCGCAACTCAGGAATACATTTCATTAGGGAAAAAAACCATGGGAAAACTTTTACCCTATCTTGATTAAAGTGTGCTAGGTTGTTGGGGCAGAACGAACAACACAGGGAGGGGCTGACATCTGGCCCAGGCTCCACCGCTTCTTCAAATTATTGTGTGCTGGCTGATCTAGCCTGGCCATCTTTTCATACTGAATCACACATCCTCATTCTTGCTCTTAAAAGACAGGAATCAACATGAGGTTAAGTGACTCACAACCGCTCATGTTGCCTCAGAGGCAGACAAGTCTGGAAAGCGTGACTCAAACTCGTAACTGCCTCCCCACTCCCAGTCCTCCCCATTCACTGGGAGTTCATGCAGTGCTCTGTCAAACTCTTTGCAGGATAATGTCCTCTCTGCTCTGAGCTATAAGAGACGTTACTAAAATAGCAGTGAGACAGCATTCAAATAGATCCAGAGGACTTAGCCACGTTAGTCTGTAGCTGCAAAAAAGTAAAAAGCCCAGTGGCACCTTTAACACTAACAAACTTTATTGTAGCGTAAGCTTTCGAGAAACACAGCTCTCTTCAACAGATGCATGGAGGGTATGAAGAAACTGGTCAGAGATATACAGGCTCTAAGGGAAGGGGGACACCTTACCATATATCTCTGGTTTGTTAGTCTTAAAGGGGCTACTAGGTGTTTTACTATTTCACTACTTTGCAGCATTCAAATAGTAGGCCATGCTAGTAGCCTCTTCCTCCTCAAAGAACAGTTCTGCAAGATAGTCAGCTCGTGCTCTTGGGAAATAATCAAAAGCTGCAAGAGCCCCTTGCTCAAAGCCCACAGGGAGTCCATGACAAGGATGGGACCATATCAGGATCTCACTGGTATTTCCTCTACATAGTCTTGGCTTCCAGCCCTGTCACCTTCCTTGCTCGTCATCACCTTCCTAGAAATAAGAACAGTTCCTGGAAATCCTGCTCTTCATTATGTAAATACTGTCCAATGGGCATTTATGTTTTTAAATCCCCACTCTTTTCCATTTAGTTAGCTCAACAAGGGCCTTTCAAGCCAGAGGCAACATTATTATGCACAGTGGAGTTAACAGGATTACAGTGAGCTCCCCATCGTCTGCCTAATCAAACTAGCCCAATTGACTTCCGCCCTGTCTTGCAATTCTCTTTTGCTTTCCAGAGCTTGGAAGTACTGCCGCAAAGGATTCACCTTGTTCTACAATAGCCAAGTCTGACAAGAAAGCCTGTGCAGGTCAAGAGACTTCAGCCCATTTAACAAATCCAATAAAGAGACGATCTGTGTTGTCAAAGTCTGCTTATCATGCTACTACACTCTTAGATGATTAATTTCACCCATCACTGGTCATTATAGTGTACCTTCTTGAACACCCTGGACAAAACAGGCTAACTCATTAGGACTTTGTATAAGTGGTTTGCTTAGAGAAGAGTCAAGGCAGCAGGCAAATTGATGACAGTGCCTTGAAGTACACTAGCAGCTCCTAACAGGTTCTATGGGCCATATTATCTAATCCATCACGCAAGGTATAGGGGTCCATGTAAGGACCCAAGGGGCTGTGGCTCAGGGGCAGAGCATCTGCTTTCCATGCAGGAGATCTCTGGCGTTTCCCACTAGTAGCAGTAGAAGGAGGAGGAGGAGGAAGAGATTCGATGTATACCCTGCCCTTCACTCAGAGTCTCAGAGCAGCTTACAAACACCTCTCCCTTCCCCTTCCCACAACAGACACCCTGTGAGTAGGTGGGGCTGAGAGAGCTTTTTCGAGAACTGCCCTTTCAAGGACAGCTCTGACAGAACTATGGCTTGCTCAAGGTCATCCAGCAGCTGCAAGTGGAGGCGTGGGGAATCAAACCTGGTTCTCCCAGATTAGAGTCCGTGCACTTAACCACTACACCAAACTGGAATACCAAAGGAATATGAAACTTCTCTTCCCCAAGACCCTGCAGAGGCACTGACTATCAGAGTAGACAATACCGACCTTGGCAGACCAAGGGTCGGCCTCAGTATAAGGCAGCTTCATGGGAAGCCCTGTGAATCAGTGCAATGTCACACGGTTGTGAAACTGCACTAGTGCAAAACAGAATACAAGTGGTATTCACTAAAGATTACACGTGAATCCGAACCATTGTGCATCCAGGTTCCCACCACCAGTGGGGGTTGCATGCCAGGAAAGTTTGTTATGCAAGGCCCCCAAACTCACCAAGCAAGTGCAGTCAACAACACGGCTAGGAAAGGATAAACTTACCATGAGAGCCTCATTATTTACATGGCATAAAAATGAGTAGTTTAGCCTACAGCGAGGCATGAGACAGACAGAAATGGGCGGGGTGCTCAAAGCTATTCAGACTTAGGCTTCGCTAAATAATAAGGGGGGGAAAGAGCTCAGCGCACAGGCATTTTTACCTGCACGGACCATTCTAGCCTGGCAAGCTGGACACATTAGAGAGAGGAAGAAAAGAAGAAAATTGATTTATACCCCACCCTTCACTACTCAAAGGAGTCACAGAGCGGCTTACAAACTCCTTTCCCTTCCCCTCCCCACAACAGACACCCTGTGAGGTAGGTGGGGCTGAGAGAGCTCTTTCGAGGACTGCTCGTGAGAGGACAGCTCTGAAAGAACTTGTAACTGACCCAAAGTCACACCAGCAGCTGCCTGTGGAGGAGTGGGGAATCAAACCCAGTTCTCCCAGATTACAGTCTGTGCTCCTAACCACTACACCAAACTGGCTCTCAACTTTTGGCCCAGTTGCAGTATGCACAGCTACCTCTTCGTATAGGCAGAAGACACCCTTCATTGCACAACCTACCCTGTAGTCCTTGGCGATCTCCCCAACAGGCCTCATTTTGTGGTCCGCATGTTGCTTCGAGTTTTGGCAGACGAAGCAGACCAGCTCCTTGTCATCCAGGCAGAAAAGTCGGGCTTCTTCACAGTGCAAGGTGCAGAGGGCGGAGGCCTCCCGCGCCCGCTGCTGCTGTTCCTGCTGCTTTTTCTCCTGCTTGAGAAACATCTCCACAATGTTGGCAAGCGTGTGGTTGGTGCGCAGGTCCTCCAGGGAAGATGTCGCTTTGCACACCGGGCACACGCGGCGGGCGTGATTCTCCCAGGAGCGGCCCACACAGCCTTTGCAGAAATTGTGGCCGCAGCGGAGGGTGACGGCATCCTTGAAGGGCTCATAACAAATCGGGCACAGCAGCTCCTCCTTGATGGTGGCCGTGGGCAAAGTGGGGGCCCGAGAAGAAGCTGCAGAAGGTTCTTTGGCCATAGACCTGTCAAGGAGATGAGGGATGGGGGGGAAGAACGGGAAGAAAATGCAAACTCTCTCCAGAAAATGCCCAGCTGTAGCTGGTGACTCACAGCTGTTGGCTGTTCACAACTTTTGCTCCACCTTACTTCATTTCTCTCCGCCTCGCTTTATTTTAATATATACAGCAAGGGCAGTTGAGTGACAGAGCTTAGCCCCAATGGAAGAAAGGCTGCTGGATCCTGTTTGGAAAATTACCGCCTCTAGAGCAAGGCAATGAAGGGGGGGGGGGGAATTTAAGCAACCTGCAGGGAATGTATTTCAAATAGAGAAACACAGAAGAAACTTACATGGGGAGTAAATGCTCGTAAATGCTCTTGTTTTTTTCGAGGGGATTCCCCCAAAATATTTGAGGCGGGAGACGGGATCCTAGAAGCACATTTACGTGGGAACTGACGTCCCTGGTTTCCGATGGCGTTTCAGCCAAAGAAAATGGAGCGCACGCGCTCAGTTTCCGTCTTTATAGAGGGTTCCGACCCAAGACGCCAGCTGTGCGTGCCTGTTGGGTCTCAGCGAAACATAGGCGGCTGCAGTTGCAAAGACGCTTACTAGGAGGAAGTAAGCCTGTGCTCCGTTTGTAATCAGGGAGCGTGGTTTACTCGTGAGTAACCCTAGCCACTAAACACAAGTGCTTAGCAGTGAGTCCACTGAATATTCTGATCCATCCAATTCGTTTCAAGGGCTTTTAGGGTTTTGTTTTCATTACATGAGAATCAGCAGGAGAGCTTCCCCCCCACCCCCTGGTCTCTCTCTCTCTCTTTTTTTAATGCCAGAGCACTATAGAAACTGCGATCGCAGGACTTTTGAGGGAAATTATGCACGCGATCGTGTTTCGTGTCTGGGATCTGTCACTTTTTAGTACTGTACAACTCCGAATTAGAAAGCGGGAAAGAGCGGGGGGGGGGGGGGGGACGGGGGGGGAGACTCCCAGCTAGCCACGCGGTTTGCACTCCAGGGGACGCGGGAAAGGAAAACCAAAAGCAACGCTTGTGTAAATGGAGGAGCTACTCGGGAAGTCGATCCCCCCCCCCATGAGTTTTCTGGGCCGTTCCAGCTGTGTAGTCAACTAGATCGGCCAGTGATGATCGGAAAAGATCAAGACACGTGGATCCCGAGATTGGCCTCCGGATCCCTTGCATGCACGTCTCCTCGAGGCAACCCCCCCGCTTACTTTGTGGTGGTGCTACAGGAGGTAGGCAGGCATCTCTGGCAGCAAATCCTGGAGCTCCTTCTTCTGGGGCTCCGGGCGAGAGTTCCCGGGAAAAAAGCCATCAGCGCCGGTCCTCGATCACTAGATCCCCCCTTTGTCACAGGAGCTTCCCTCCACTTCACAGAAAGAGGCTGGAATCCTCGGCCTTGCCTTTTATGTCTCGGAGCCGAGTTGGCGAAGTAACTCCGCCCCGCACGCCTGGGCCAGACAGTTTGTGCATGGGCTGGGTGATGCTCCGGAGGAGGGGGTGTGTGGAGAGTTGCCGAGCTCCTCTATCCAGTCTAGTTTCCCTACCTGCCCTGGGAGGCTTCCAGGTTGGCAAGGTAAGTAGGTCAAGGTAGTAAAGGGGTGTGCCAGCAACTGGCAACGCTCCCTTTCTTCTTACACTTCTAAAAAGGAAGCTGCCTGGTAGATGGCACGAAAACCGGAAGGAATTGCAAAAGCGCCAAATTATCCAGACAGATTAACGCTGGGAAAAGCAAAGCATTACGAACATGGGGGAAGCCTTGCTGAGGAAGAACCAGTGTGATTTCCGCCATGGGGAATCCTGATTTAACAAACAGCCTTCGAGAATTCTTTAAGACGGTCAGCGAGCATGTGGCTAAAGCCCCTCTAAAGACGTTATTTCGTATTTGCACTTTCAGAACCTTTCGACAAGATAGCTGACACATGTGTTATTCAGCCCAGTTTGGATGGTATTTGGGGAACAGGTTTTTTTCTCTGCTTCCCCACAGCATCATCGTACTTTCCTACACCACCCATCCTCATCGTTTCTGCAATCTTCCCCAAACCTGCTTTTCTGCAAAGTTTTGGGAAAGATCACAGCAAAGCCTGGAAAACTGCCAAGTGGGAGGGAAAGTCTAGATTTTCCTGATTGGCACAATTTTCCTTTTTCCCTTGGCCATCCCCTGTCCTGCTCTACACCACCAGGTGGGCTTTTTGAGGTTTGTGGTTTTTTTACAGCAGTAATTCCAAGGAAATTCAGTCCCCCTTGATCATTGTCTTCTGCCATCCGGTGAAGACTTTTCTTACTGACCCTCCTTGTTTATTTTTAGTTGCTGATCTCTTATGTACTGTTTTTGAGAGTTGATTTTAAGGCCTGTTTAACTGTTTGCCACCCTAAGGGGCCTAATTGGGCAGAAAGGCAAGGTATAAATGAGTTAAATTAATAAAATGAACAAATAATTGACATATCGTTATAGTGATATAACATATATTGGTATGTCAATTACTGATTTTTTAAAAAACACAAAGAAAACCTTCTGGTAGTGTGTGTCTGGGGGAAGGGGGAATGGCCAACATAGATGATATGGGGGGGGGGATCCACCATGTAAAAGAACAGTAGCAGCATGGCTTCTATGGAAAAGTGCCTCCACATGAGAAAAGTCAAAGTCCTTTTAACACAGTTTGCTGAGTACCTTAGCCAGTTGGATAGCTTTTGCAATGGGGCAGTAAGCAGTGGGGTCTGCCAGGATCTTTACTGGTACATCACTATGTTATGTACATAGACCGCCACCAGGGGTCCGCGGCACATGCAGGAGCTTGGCTCCTGGAACAAAGGAAACTTTGGATCCTGGTTTCCCCCAGCCCCAACCAATAGCCACTTGGTGGGACATTCAAACCCTCCAATGGGAATGGGGGGTGCTGGGTGGATATGTATATAGTTGGCCCTGTTGGGCCATTAGAGTTAGTCTTAGTTGGAGTGAAGTACAATAAACGTGTGCAAAAGCATGTCGTCGTCTGAGTCCTCCATGCGGCGAACCCAGTACTTTACACACTACATGGCCTGTTGATGGGTGAGCGGTAATAGCCAAGTTAGCTGATGACACCAAATTATTCAGAATGGTGGAAGTTGAATGTAAAGAACTCCCAGAAGATGTCCCCAAATGGGCAACTATATGACAAATGAGGTTCAATGTAAGTAAGTATAAAGTGCTGCCCCTTGAGACAAAAAAATCCTGTAGCTTCATAATATTTAGTTAAATTTTTTCGTATGTTTTCTAACCCATCCCAAGCTACAAAGGAGCATGCAAGAAAATAAAAAAATAACTGATTAGATTTTTATCCCACTCTTCCACCAAGAATCTCAGCTCTGTGCATAGAGCCACTCCTTCTTTTATCTTTCCAGAAATCCTGTGAAGAAAGCCTGAGAGAAAGTGACAGGCCCCTGAGCCTCCCTAGTCTTAATCTAGTGCTTCAGTCACTACACTACACTGACAATAAAACCAAACACATGAATGAATATAGCAAACAGCAGGATTAAAAGTTAATCAAACAGCTGCAAAACCAACGAAAAGTCTCTAAAATACCATTAAAAACACAAAATTACAGGCTGGATGTTGTTCAGTTGCACAGTCGAGTCCGACTCTTCGCGACCCCATGGACCAGATCACACCAGGCCTTCCTGTCTTCCGCCGTCCTCTGAAGTTTGCTCAATTTCATGTTTGTTGCATCTATGACACTATCTAACCATCTCATCCTTTGCCGTCGCCGTCTTCTGGATGGCTTGCTGTCTAATACTAACGGTGATATTAACGGTGCCAGGTGAATATGCCTAACAGAGAGAGTTCCTAGGTTCTGACACCACAACAGAGGCCCTCAAGTCTGGTAGTTCTCCATATTACCTCCGAAGGTAGTTCGCAGAGGTTCTGAGAAAGGCCTTAGGGGATGATGTTACCTGACAGACATGCCCATGTTACATAGATTGTGGCTGGATGGCAGTCGTGATAAAAAAACAAATGTATATGTAAAGATCCATCAAGTGACAGCCGACTTACAGCGACCCCTTATAGGGTTTTCAAGGCAATGGACATTCATAGGTGGTTTGCCATCGCCTGCCTCTGCATACAGACCCTAAACTTCCTTGGTGGTCTCCTATCCAAGTACTAACCAGAGCCAATCCTACTTAGCTTCTGCGATCTGACCAGGTCAGGCTAGTCTGGGCTATCACAGTCAAGGTATAAGAAGTAAACACACTGGTAGAAATTATTAGAAAAGGGATTTTAAAAAGCAAATAAAAATGCCACTGCTGATTCCCCTGTGTCCACATTCAGAATACTATACGTACTACTATTCTTGAACAGACACCTCTGAAAGCTCACCTCCCATAAAAAAAAAATGAAGTGTCTTTCTCTCTTACTTTCCCCCAGTACATGAATTTCAGAGGCATACGACTTCTGAAGTCCAGTGGCATCTTCCAAGACGAACCACATTTGTTTCCGTACGAGCTTCTGTGCGTTACAGCTCGCTTCTTCAAATACCTGTCACACATATCTGACAAAGTGATCTGTGATTCACGAAGCTTGTACTGAAATAAATGTAGTTAGTCTTGAAGGTGCCACTGGACTTTTGTTTTGCTATGACAGAATGATGTGGCTATGGTGGAAAGTGATGTGAAGTCTCAGCGGACTTACGGTGACCGCTCGTGGGGCTTTCCAGGCAAGATACATTCAGAGGTGCAGTGTGATTGCACTCCGAAACTCCGACATTCATGCCTTTAGCGCAGCAAATCCTCCGTGTGGCCGGGACCATAGTTTATCTTGATTTTAGTAAGGCTTTTGATAATATTCCACATTGGTAAAATGTGGTTTGGATCCTATTACTGTTAGGTGGATCTGTAACTGTTTGACAAATTACACCCAAAGACTGCTTGTTAATGGTTCCTCTTCCTTTTGGAGAGGAGTGACAAGTGGAGTGCCTCAAGGATCTGTCCTGTTTTGTTCAACATCTATACAAATGATTTGGATGAAGGAACAGAAGGAATGTTTATTAGATTTGCAGATGATACTAAATAGGGAGGGGTAGCAAATACGGTAGAAGACAGAGTCAGGATACAGGATGATCTTGACAGGCTGGAAAACTGGGCTAAAGCAAAATGAATTTCAATGGGGATAAATGTAAAGTTCTGTATTTAGTTAGGAAAATTCCAATGCATAATTATAGGGTGGGTGAGACTTGTCTTGGCAGTAGTATATGTGAAAAGAGTCTTGGGGCTTTAGTGGACCATACACTGAACATGTCAGCAGTGTGATGCGGTAGCTAAAAAGGCGAATGTGATTTTGGGCTGTATCAACAGAAGTATAGTGTCCAGATCACGTGAAGTGATGGTACCACTTTACTCTGCTCTGGTTAGATCCACCTAGAGTATTGTGTTCAGTTTTGGGTGCCACAATTTAAGAAGGATATAGACAAGGTGGAACATGTCTAGAGGAGGGCAACGAAGATGGTGAGGGGTCTGGAGACCAAGTCCTATGAAGAAGGGCTGATGGAACTGGGTATGTTTAGCCTGGAAAGGAGACAACTAAGAGGTGATATGGTAACCACCTCCAAGTACTTGAAGGGCTGTCATTAGAGGATGGTGCGGAGTTGTTTTCTGTTACCCCAGAAGGTCAGACGAATGGGTTGAAATTAAATCAGAAGAGTTTTCAGTTAAATATTAGGAAGAACTTCCTGACAGTTACAGCAGTTCCTTCTTTGGAGGTTTTTTTAGCAGAGGCTAGATGGCCATCTGACAGCAATGATGATTCTGTGAACTTAGGCAGATCATGAGAGGGAGGGCAGGAAGGTTAGTTCTCATGGCCCTTTCTTACGTGCCCAAGGAAATGCTGATCACCACTTTGAGGTCAGGAAGCAATATTTCTCCAGGCCAGTTTGGCTGGGGATCCTGGAGGTTTTTTGCCATCTTCTGGGCATGGACCAATGGTCATTGGGTGTGAGTGGGAGGGAGGGAGAGGTATTTGTGAATTTCCTGCATTGTGCAGGAGGTTGGACTAGATGACCTGCAAGGTCCCTTCCAACTCTAACATTTTATGATTCTATTATTCTAATGCCAATCTCCCCAAAATCAGAGGAGAAGGTGGTGATGGTGGTGAAAGAAATCTTCAGCGATGAAACTGAATTTTCTACCACACTTTGGTTCGGAGATGTTAGAGAGTGGGGAGAGAACAAAACAAAACAAATGTGTGCTATTCTGTTGAAAAAATGGTAGGCGGAAGACTGAAACTGTGATTTAGATAGTACGTTTCTGTTCAGATGTTTAGCATCCGAACAGTCCTTCTGGAGTTTAAAGCACTTCACACATATTTTATGACTTCACTCTCCCTATTGCTCTTTTTAGCTAGCTGTCCTGACTCCTGGGCTCAGCC